TTAATACCCAATAGAAATGCCCTTTTACTACAATACCGACACCCCTTTTCATCTACAATCAAGTTCGGTAGAACATGGTCCTGGCAGCCCTCCCCCATTCCTCCCTCTCTATGATTCTCGATTTCCACATGGCCCCCTACGCTTGATCCGAGCACGAACGCATCGCCAGGTCGAGGTGGACTTCCTCGGATGAGACGGTTCGAGCCGTGAAACACTTTGCACTGCATGGACAGGCGTGGCGACCAACTGCAACACGTTGCGGTTCAACAACCGCAACACCTTGCCAACAGCAGATGTGTTTGGTGTGTTTTTTTCAGGAGTCTGTCAGAGGCCTCACGGGTCGCTGGCACAGAGTAGGGTCAGTGTGGTGATGGTGGAAAAGGTTCATGGCAACATCAGATCATGTGTGGCATATGGCATATGGTTGGTGTTGATCATATTGGTTTCAGAACTGTGTTCAAACCTGTTACACTACCTGTGGTTTGAACACACTGGGTGAACTCAAATATTCTCGATGAATCGTGGGGAATGTAGGAACATGTATACTTCTGGAGGATTTCGGAAGACTAGCCCCATTGGGACCTGAGAAATCTTGGGTCCTCAAGCGATGGGGAGTAGTAGAAGAGTGGCATGGCATGGGGAGTCCTCAGTTTTGAATAAACTGACACTACAACCCCCCCACGGAAGATTTGTTGTTGTTGTTGTGGTCGTTATTGTTGTTATTGTTGTTGGTGTTGGTGGTTGTTATCGTTGTTGTTGTCGTCGTGGTGGTGGTGGTTGCTGTTGCTGTTGCTGTTGCTGTTGTTGTTGTCGTTGTGGTTGTCGTGGTTCTTGTTCTTGTTATTGTTCTTGTTCTTCTTGTTGTTGTTGTGTGTTTTTTTTGTGTGTGTGTTTGTTTTCTTTTTTTTATGTAAGATGTCCATGTTTCAACAGCCTTCCAAAGGTTCCGTTTTTTTGTTTTCTCTCGCACCACGCCTGACACTTCGTACACACCGTAGCAGTCGCTGCCTGCTGTGAGCTTGTTCAGGATTGGTCGTGCACGCGGCGCCTGAAGACGTTGTAAGAGTCTGTTTGACCTGGGGCAGAGTTGACCGGTGCATTGACCAGATGGGTTGACCAGATGGGTAGGTTGATGGGTAGGTCGAGGGTCATGGACCCCACAGAACGAACGAACGAACGATGGAGGTGGCGTGAAAGAACCTGAAACAAGCAGGGCAGCTGTTATGAACTGTCGACCTTGTGTTGGATGGTAGTGGGTAGACCAGAAAAAGAATGTCAAAGAGTCAAACTGCTGCCGCAGTTCGGGTCGTTTTCACACTGCTGGGAACGGAGGGTTCCAAGAAGGTTCCTGATAACGAAGGACATGATGGACAGACGTTTTCCACCATGAAGTCCTTAGCCCAATCTTGATCTTGTAGATTTGTATCACTACTGCTAAGTTGTCTTCCTCCAAGAGTTCACAAATCTGTGTGGTGTTGTTGATGTGGAAGGCATCAACATGCGTGGTTCATCTTTTGGAAGGCATCTGCTTTGAGGTTGCCTGTAAGCTGGCCTGCATCCTCAAAAAGACGGTCGTGAACTGGCAAACTGAAGAAGCGGGTGCGGCGTTCGGTTGCTTTCGGTCCAACCGAACCTGACAAAAGAGATTAAAAGGGATTAAAAGGGTACACTCCCTAGAACTAACATGGTTACATGGAGAATGGCCCCGGAAGGAAGACAATGAAATCCACTACAAAACAGGTGGTAAGTTCCACGTAACCATGTGAGTTCCAGGGAGAGTATGATTTGTTCCAATGATCGATCTATTTTATGATTGGCCCAGAAAATATCCCCCGTGGAGAAGTCGGGACTTTTACAAGGCTTATCAGTGAAGCGATATATATATATTGCATCTTTGACTGCGGAACATCCCCCAGTCCCCCCCAGGAAAACGGGGATAGGCCTTTAACCATTTTTTGGGGGATGTCCTTTCCCCAATCGAAACATGCGCCCAAATGAAGAGTTGAAAACACAATTAACCTGTATGTTCCAGGCAAACTGAGGGAGTCAGCAGTGAATCAGCACTTTGGAAACAACGCCAGAGGTCACACTAAAGAACTTGCTGCTTAGAGGAACCCAGACCTTCAACAATGTCATACCCCAAGGAAAGCATTATGTCAGTTTTAGTCATGGGTTTTTGCGGGGTACGACGGGTTTCTCTACGGGTTTTTCAAAACACTGTGCTTTCTGAAAACACCATGTGTTTTTCTTTAAATGTATGTGTTCAGCCAAACGATCAGAAATGAGACTTTTACAGGTTCTTGATGCTCTAGGTGGGGGTGTTTTGCTGACAGCGTGTGCACCCTCGAACCCTGATCGTCACGACTCTTTTTGTGACCAGCGGGCGTGTTGCTGTATATCCATTGTATTCTGTGTGGCGAGAGAGGCGCCACCTTTGCCCCAAAACGACAGTCCTAAAGAGACAGTTGGACACTTACAGCGTGGGGACAATAGATCCTGGGCGCGTTTGGCTGTGGAACTGTCCTTCGACAACTCTAGGCCGTTCCAGGCCCCGTTGCTCGAAGCTCATGGTCGTTCCCCAGCATCTCAATTGGCCTACAGTACGGCGTACCAGAGGTGGCATAACAGTGCATTGCTTTGTGTCAACCCTTTGTAGTACTTGGGTAGACTACAAAGCTACATGGGTATTGGACTGGGAAGACCTGCTGTTCCACCCCCCAGTAGAATGAACAACTCGACTCCAGATACACTGGTTGACAGGTCCCCTTCTTCCAACGGAAAAGTAAGAACAACATCCAGGACCCTCCAAGTGGTGTCTATTTATAGCCCCGAAACGCTGTGATTCGGGGTGTCCATTAACCACCCCTTGAAGGCTAACCACCCCTTAAACAAACAAAAGCCACGTGTTCGTCGGTGGGTTTGTTTGAAGAAGTGGATGAGTCGGACTCCTCCCAGATGGGACGGTATGACTGACCGAGAGAAGACTAACGATGACTCCCTGCATACCAGTGAAGACTGTCAATGGATATATAGAACTTATATAAATCGTATCTTCTATCTTGCATGAGGAAGACATCTCCATCAACCATATGCGCGGTGAAACATCAGGAGTGAACCACGTAGGTGTTCCCTCTGAACAGAGCAAGGTGTTCCCTCTGAACAGAGCAAGGTGTTCCCTCCTCTCGTTCGCGCACACGTTGAGCAAAGACATCTCCAACGACCTGCTGTTCGTGGAACAACGACCTGGTGCGAATTCTGTCGGCCAATTCCGAAGAACGACCGGCCCATGTTTTGAAGATTCTCTGGGTGCCGGAGTTTTTCGTGCATTATCCGCATTGCCAGCCACAAGGAGTGCTGAACCTTTAGATGAAACCCTCAACATTTGCGTAGCTTCGCGTCGCGTCGCTTGTGGCTGGCGACATCCGCTTTGTATAGCTTGCCTCGCTCCAAGTTGTCCAGGCTCAGACTCTTTTGTTTCGGGGGAATCGAATGTTGGCCCTACTTTGAATCATGTCCTGTTTTGTTCTTGTCCATATTTTCCACATTGAATATTTGGATTTGAATGAAGATATTAATGGTGAATTTTATTGTTTTGCCATGTTGTTCTTTATCGTTGAGGTTCTATTCTCCTACTGTATTCTCTCTCTCTCTCTCTCTGTGTCTCTCTCTCTCTCTCGCTCCTGCTGATGGTTCATTGCAATATATATTCTTACCACAGCATGAAAGATCGGCATTTTTCTGGACTCAAAACGCCTGGGGATCGGGTGGTGGTTGAAGACCATGTTCCGAAGACACATGTCCACGTGGTTTTGGGGGGTTTTCACAGTTTCCATTGGTTTCCATGTTTTACTTTTTTTTTCAGGAGAGTCTTGTTTGTTTCTCACATAGAGCTCAGCATAGGCACTTGTTCCTTTAGAAAAACACGGCTCACCTATAGAGACAATTTGGTTGGGAAACCATAGGGAAACCCATCACGTGTCTCTTTTGCAACTGCAAAACGCACCAGTCCAGAAAGCCGTCCAATGGATTTGGCTGCTTCCGGTTGGGGAGTTGGGGAAAGATGGGGTAAACCTGATGGATCTTGGTATACATAGCATTTTGCATAATTAGCAGTCTGCGTAGCAGTCTGCATAGTTCTGGCAGGGACAAGTTTTTGCGATCGACTCGCCACAGCCTGAGTTCCTGGTTCGGAGCGATCTCGTTTGGCCAATACCGTCGTGCAACGGCCCAGCAGTGGGTGGCCAGGTGGTCTCATGGATGGCCTCGTGGGTTGAAGAGATCCAGCTTCAGATCCATCAGAGTGACACACGAGCGTCGAGACCCTTGCGCCGCGGTGCATCACCATTGTAAAGCGGATGCCGGTTGCTGGACCCAAAAGCGGCCGCCCGGAAGGAAAAAGGTTGCGCCTCCTGCAGGTGGCCGTGTGGTGGCTCGATGCAGCACAGGAACCTGTTGGAACTGCTCCGAGAGGAACAAGAGATGCCCTGTTAGCACCCTGTTTTCTTTCGCGACAGTGGAACAGAAGGGTCACAGTATCACCTGGGAGTGTGGCCTTGTGTGTGGTGTGCGAATCCTCCAGAATTCCATGTTGGGTTGCTTTGAAGCCGCAGCAGCCTGGTGGAGCCTGGTATCATGTTGTGAGCGAAGACGATGTGCTTTCGACCCTCACAGCCCTGAATTTCATGGCATTTCGAAGCCCTAACCATTTGTAGAACTAGTGGAGTTGAAACCCTTACTTGCACTGTGTATCACTATGTTATCATATGTTCATTCCAATGACTTTCAGGATTAGCTTGAAACCTGGCCCACGTAGTTGAAACAGGCCAGGTTCCAAGCCGTACTCCCCTGCAAATGAACCGGGACACACACACACAAAAAAAAATAAAGACAGAGTTGGTCTTCGGAAGTCCAGGTCTTCAACCTTCACCAGCGATTAACTCTCAAGGGTTTATGGGGTACTTCCCTTCGCCGCTCTCTTCTTGGATCTGACGGCCCCGCAGGGGATGAACTTCCCCAAGAACCACGACCGCTGGGCGCATAAGGTGGACAATGTCGGGGAGCCCCAGGTCAACGGCATTTGTGGTTGTTGTTGGAGGAAGGGAACTTGCCTAGTGAGAGAAGTGAGAAGAAGTGAGCTTCTCGGTTCAGTTGTGACCTTTGAACGATTTGGGTGGCTTCTTTTCGAAGTTGCTCCGTTTTCACTGGTCAAAAAAGAAACATACGACTCTTTTCCCACTTTGTTTAATTACTGGTACATCAAAAGTCATCAAAACAACAACACAAAATTGAAAGGACGTTTTTGGAGTGCGGAAGATTGTGAGAGTACAGTTTTCTTGGCTTCATTTGTTGCTCAAGGTTTGAACTCTTCACTGACTGGACTGCAAAGACGTTTTTTTGACTCAAGGGCAGCTCATGGAAGATTCATGAAGATTATATTCCAATTTAAATTTAACTACAACATATTACATTTTAGATTACAATTATGTGTTTCCAATTTTGTCGTAATTTATATTCATTTAATGTCATTTTTCTTATAGCATTTTATACCCTTCAAAATTAGTTGTTTTTACCTTTCAGATGCATATGGCATGAAGGCAGACAATAGTGGAGAGTTTATGTTGCACACAGACAAAGAACATTCAGGCAGGGTGCCTAATGCAGAAACATAGACAATGCGCAGACTGGTGGTCCCCCGTTTGGAAAAAAGAACTCACACATATTTAAATATATATATATAATATGTTTTACAGCACGTATAAAACCGATATTTATATACATACACAGCAATTCCAAAGCAATCACCTCCTGAGAAGAGTTTTCCACCTCCTTCACACCTCCCGGCTCGCCGCCGTCGTCACTCCACCGCGCATGCCTTTGCTCCGAGGGCACGAGGGAGTCCTTTGAGTCGGAGCGAAGCCAGTCGGGAGAGCCCAGACCGTCTCCGCGCGGCCGGAGGCGCCGAAGCGAAGCGGAACGGTGGTGTGTCGGAGGACGAGCGATCCGAATCCGGAGCGAGTTGGAAGAGATGAGTCCACAGTTTTACCAGGTCCACCAAGAACTCTGGAACCATGGTGAGACGTCTTGTTTGGGGGGGTGGGAAATCATGAGAAACGGTCCGTGTATATTTCAAGAGTCTCCGCCCTCTTGGATCATGGAAACATGTTGAAACTCTTTTGGAATTCCCGGAGAAGAAGAACACACCGGGCTTGAAGCAACGGGCATACCTTCAGGCTGGCAGAAGGTTTGGACCCCAACATGCGTGGCGGTCTTCTAGCGGACGTTTTGGCACAGAACTCCATTCATGGGTAATCTGAAGAAGACCTCAGAGTTGGTTTGTTTTCCCGGAAAAGTCAGTGACTACTTTGTCATGCTTTGTCTATTTCACAAGCGTTTGCTTCAAACAACTGGGCCATGTAGCGTACATGTTACATGATGTTTTGCCCCATTGCGCCGGCCGCTGATTGGCTGGTGTGGCCCGATCCTGGCCACCGATGGGGGAGAAGGTTCTTCCCAGGTAGCCAGTGACCTGAACGGGGACAGGATCGGTCACCTGAATTTTCCCAACTGGGATAGTCGAACTACCCAGACCGCTCCGTTCACAGCCCGACCGGTCCCTCAAAACCGATCGGGAATTGAGACCCTAGACATCCCTAGACCCATGGGAACCAGGGTCGAGTCTGGGTAGATCAGGTCCTGAAAAACGTCTGTTGGTGACCGAGTGTGATCCTGAGCCTGAGGAGCAAAAAAATCACTCTCGATCGGATGCCCTTCCCAGTCGGAGAGCTCAGAGTGGACACGGCAAAACGCCACGAGTCTTCTGTGGGGTGCTTGGTGGTGTGGTGGCTGTAGAGGTGTTGATGTTTTTGTTGTAAGTTGTAACGGAATTGGAGACTTGAAAGGTGGTTTGATATGGTGTGTTGAGCAAACTCCCATTCCCCGAAAGAAATGAAGAGATTGGAGCATCCAGCTAGGGGGGTGATTCATCAAGGCGACCTCGTATTGGAAGGATTCGTGTGCCAGGACTCGTGCGTCACACGCCACACGCCGGTGTTTCTCGCTTCTCCGACAGTCGGACGGAACCTTCTGTTTGAGCCAGCGTCGAACGGCTGGGTGAGGGGTTGGTCCCTAGGAGCTCCAGTGGTACAGGTGTTTGGAGAGGGTGCCAGGAGGGCCCAGTCATACCTTCTGATGAGGTACAACTGGAGCCCTAGGGTGGTAAACATGGTAAACTCAATCATCCTTTCCATATCACCGGGTCACATCAAATACGTATCACATGTATCTATATATATATATGTAATATATTGAATGGGAGGGCCACCTGTTCGCCACCTATGAAAAGGAAACGCCCTCCCGGTCTGAGTCGGACCCGCTGATCCGTCCGGTCCCTCGACCGGTCCCGAAGCAAACCGATCGGGGGTGGGGAGAAACCCCGTCTGACCCCCTCCATGCAGGTCCAGGGTCGCTTTAGGGCAAGTGGGTTTGTCCCACTGAGTACTGAAATGTACTGAGTACTGCTACCTTCACTGGTCCACGAACCGGTGGAGCATGGATCCTGTGCGTGTTCCTGTGCGTCTTCGCCCATTTCCATGAGCAACGTTTGTGTTGAGCAATGGCAGCCATACATGACCAACCGTGAAAAACAAGGGAAAACATAAATGCAAAAGCCGTGCAAGTTGCTTTGTTTTTGCATTTGTTTTGCTTTTTTTTAAAGACCTTTTTTCCTGGTACCACTTCTTCACTTATGAGAACTGTTACTCGTCAGCAATATTTGCTGTACGCTCCTAGGAAAAAGAGACACGAAAAAAACAAAAAAACTTGCGAAAATAACGCGAAATAACACAAACATAAAGCACAACAAGTGAAAAAAGCGACAAACACGCACAGCTACATGTGTTTGCTTTTTTGTTTGCTTTACCTGTTGCTTATTTTTGCTTTGAGAAATTATTTTGCCTCCTTGTATCTATGGCTGGCGTGCCCAACTCAAAGCAAAGTCAATGACGGTTCTAATATATGTCGTGTATTTTTGTGTGAAATTTTCTTGCAGGGGTGAGAAATGACTGATCCAAGGAAGCAACACCCCACACCCTAAAGAGAGACCAGACCCTTCCACAGTGGGTGTTGGTACACCCATGGGTGCACCTGGCGCCCGACCACTATACGGCGAGGTGGAGGCAACCTTTGGACCAGGTCTATTCCGGTACCCCGAGAATTCCAGCTTCCCTTTTTATATGACTTGATGGTTGACCCACACACAAGCACAAACCTTTAGGTAAAGTTCCAGGTTCCCATGAGGTCAAACAAAACACAGAATCCTTTGCTTGATGTAGATGGTTTTAACCCTGCAAAGCAGAAACAAACCATGTCCGCATGCGCCTTCCTCAGTCCACTGGAGTTGGGGGCGCCCAGAGCTTCTGCCAGGGCAGGGGGTTCTGTTCGGGTTCGACACCTCCCTGGAACTAACTGGACGAATTCGGCACTTTCTGGAACATCCTGGAACGCATTTGGCACTCCCCGACACGAATTCGGCACTTGGGAACGAGAACGAAGTGGATGGCAACTGCTACTGGTTGGACCATGATTGTCGGAAGACCCCAACAAAACTGGAGGGGTTAAGAACTCACTCCACCGACTTCAGCCGTGTGTTCGTTGAAAGAAGAGGGTGTAGATGTCGAGGGTGTGGATGTCGGGGATGTCGTCGGATCAAACGCGAGTGACGAGACGTCGTAGAGTGGTTTGTCATGGACAGGTGGATAGTTTTTTGAATGTGATTGCATGAGGATAATGATGTTCAGAGGGGCTGTACTGGATGAATAAAATACATAAGGTCTATATCATGTTCAGAGGGTCTAGAAAGATATTTATGATGTGGTGTGTATGAATGTGTATGACATATTACTGAGATTGTATATTATGCCATCTATGGAGGGTGCTTATCATCCGTTACTTTATATAACTGAACTTGATTTGGCACACGTTCATAACAATACACCCAAACAATCTTTGTATCCTCAGCATGGGTGGGAGCCTCCGGACCACACTGGCAGGACGGACTTCCGATCAGTTGGGGGCTTTCAGGGCTGATAGGCAATTCCAGTCCCATGGAGTGTGTGGGTTTCTACAATCTGTCGTGAGTCGTAAGAGATGTTGCTTCTACCACAGATCAACCCTGAACACTCATAAGGTCGATCCATAGGCAACACGGTCCATCTTTGGCAACACGGCTCCAACTCACACAGGTCACTGGGGATTGGGTCTCCCACCCTCCTCCAGAGCGAACGAAGGTGTTTCTTCGCGAACTGAACGAAGGGAGCGAGCGACTGTTCGAGGTCCATGTCACCCGAGTTGTGAGGGTCAAAACCCTAGCGAACTGAGGGTCCAATGAACCTTTGGGAAACAAACAAAACTCCTCCGCATGCTCCACATGCTATAGGGGGCGAGACCTGGATGGGAGAAGAAGAAGAGATGGGATTCGGAGGAGAAGCAGTTGAACCATGATGGACCAGTTGTGATCCAAAACTCTTTCTCCCTGCAGTTGCCCTTTCAATACGAGGATCATAGAGGCGGAACAAACAGCGCGATGAAAACAACACAAACCAAGCGAAAAAAATAGGGGTGATTCTTCTTCCCCGATTCACCTCTCGGTTGCTCAACCAACCAGGGAACGTGCTTCTCCTGGGCAACGCTGCGCCTGCCGGAAGGCCTACATGGGCAAGTTGTGGCGAAACCCGGTGGGGCGGCCTCAGCAGCTGCAGAGAACGACAGGTGAATCAAAAGAGACAGAAGACTAAGGATCTTTGAATGATGCAGGTCTATAAGTTCTTCAGTTTAGAGTTGTTTCCTTTTTTCTGACTGGTTTTAACCCGAAACTCTGGTCCAAAGTTGTCCAAAGCTTTTCATTTTGGGAGAACGACACGACAAACATCGTCTCCATCTCATGTCTCGGTCTGCAGTTCGCTCCGCCGGATGCAGTTTTTTGGCAGATAAATGCCTCATGAGTGGAAGTGGGAAGCTCATCTCTATTGGAGGGTGGTCCCCGCAAAATTGGCCTGGAGTTGAAGGGACTTGAAGGTTTGAGGTTGCTTCCTTTGAGTGAAATCAACACCTGCCATAAAAGAAAGTTGCTCCAAGACACTCCGGGAAGCACGTGAGGGCACATGTTTACACTCGGTCTCCTCGAAGGAGGGTTCACGCGGAGCCTCATAGCCGGAAACGTTTCTCCTCCAGCCTCCAGTACTAGTGGTTTCTTCTTCGTCGTTTGTGTTTTCTTTGTTTACCCTCCCTCCAACGTCCTCATGGTTAGGTGGAAATTGCGCCTGGCAAGACGATGCTCCTGTACAAGCAGGGGCTTGTCCACTTCGCTCATGAAGGGAGAGGGTCACTCTTTCATCTTCATTGGTCTTTTTTGGTTTCATGGTGGGCCTGCTCGCACATATGGTGCGTCCTTTCCCGAAAGGAACAGCACTTGGACCCTTCGCCACATGCAGGCAACAAATGGACTTACAAGTAGCATTGCAAGAGTCTTCCGTAGAAGTTGGTACAGACACTTGTAAAGACAACCTCATGCTCACGATTGCTGAATCTACTGCCAGCAGTGATAGCAGGATGTGCACGAGTAGAGGCGTCGCCATAGCGTGAAACATGACGGTCATACAAGATGGCTGTTTACATGCAAGTGTTTGTGGTTTGACAAACGGAGCAGACTCTTCTGCAACTCATGTCTGGTGGGGGCCACCATCAACTCCGGAAGTGCAGTTCACCCGGAATGTGCCAACATGTTCGAGGACGCTGAAGCTCATTTTTGGGCCCTAGTATGAAAATCGTCAGGACGTGTAAGCAAGCCAAGGGCGACTGTTGAGAACATACGGTAGAAGCTGCGCACGCAGCCGGGAATGCAACATTCAACCTAGCACAGAACCAATCCAAACGCTAACTGCTAACTTTGCTGCCAGCAACAAGGACAATGAAACATGGCAAACCACATCGTGTGGAACGTATAGAACTCAGTGCCCACAGTCCGTCCTGCCACGAGCTTTTGGACTGTTCCAGCCTCACCTTGAACTTGAAGCCAGCTATATCACGTCCGAGCCACTGATTTTGTTGTACATGATGTCACGTCAGGGAAGCAGCAAAGCGTAGTTTTGGAGAAGTTGGACCACTCAACCAGGAAGCATGTCCACTGATTTTGGCAACATGAAGAATATATGCGCAGCAAGATTTGACCATAGAATCAAACTTTGGGCAACAAGTTGGCCACAGGGAGAACCTTGAATTTTGACCGAAGTCCCAACACCTTTTGAAACCACATAGTTGAGGATGTTTTTGATTGTTTTTGTTTTCTATCCTGTTGTCTCTCCATCCCCTGTCCCAGCATCTGGCCCCCACCACCGCTTTCCTGCCCGAAGCAAGGTCACTGCCCGGTTGAGCCTCCGGAAGGTGCATCAACAACACGACTTTCAGCTCATTGACTTGTACACCAGGAGGGGATCCAAGAAGGTTCTCTCGAACTGTTTCAGTGGTAGATTTGCCGATGCTTGCCCAGCCGGGTTGAGTTTCGTGTTTCATCCCACTGCAACCGCTCGGGTGCGTCAAGCGATACCAGGCTGCCAGGCTTTTGGTTCGTTGGATTTATACCTCAAAGGTACCGGACACAGATCAGGATTGTTTCCTGCAGGTGTGTGGATTGCGGCCTGCATCTGATTCATGAAATTTGTTTTCCCCTATAAAACGTCATTGAAACAGGTACCAGACTACTTGGAACACTTCTCTATTGATGATGCGCGCACAAAAACGGCGCAACCTACACAAAATGACGGCTTGATCCACCGAGAAGATCCACAAAACGCGTCTTCGAACGCGTCGAGGAGCCATGTGACCAAGACGCCGAGTGAGATGGCCAAAGATCCCTATCTCTACAAGCGCCGGAGCCCAGCGGAGCTCCGCCGCTGTCGCCCGTCGAGAGCCTCCACAGGCGTCGCGGCTGGAGGAGAGGAGAGGTGCAGTCAGGTCGAACAGGTGGAATCAGGGATGGTGAAGAACGGGTGGGGATGGTAAGGCCTGGGTTTCTTGTTGTGTTCTTTAGACCTGCTTGCAGGTTTTACTCTTGTCCGGGTGGTTCAGAGTTCACCTGGAGTGAACGTGAGGTCGATGCAGGTCGTCCAGGCCGGAGGTTCCGAGCCGGTCGTCGGACGTCTGAGGCCGGTGATTTTGACTCTTCGCACCTGGATGTACCACGACTTCTTCAGGCCGGATGACTTCTTCGAAGCCGCATCTCGGAAGAGCTGTTTCGGCTAGGCTGCTGCTAGGTGGAGGCTTTTATGGTGAAGCCTGGGAAGAGGAGAGGTTTTTGGTGACCTGAAAACGGACCCCACTGGGGTACCCAACTGGGATAGTTGAACTAGGGTCCATCAACCTCTGGCTTTCTCGGAAGACCGAAATGCGGAACGGGCTCGGGGCTCGGAGCATGCCAGCCATGGTCCCCAGGATCGCCCGTGAGCCCCGATCGCTCCCTGGATCTCCTGGGTGTCTGGGGTAGAAAACCGCCAGGTCACCAGGGGCAGTCGCACACCAACCACTGACTGAAGCTTGAAGGGTGTGGTTCATGGACAAACCTGGCACCGGCAGTTAGAAGCACCTGACGCTCATCCAATCTAACCAAGCAAAAGTTTGGACCCCAAGCAAAAGCCATCCAAAAGTAATTCGGGCCTGGATTCTTTATAAAAGAAACTTTCCCAAGACCTTGAGACTTAGATGACCCACTTGTAAGCAGGTGAAGGACATTGGCGACCTGGTATTGGTCACCATCTCCATGTTTTCCATGTCATCCCCGAAGCATTTACTTGGCCCAATAATACCAGCACCCTCAAACCGGTCTCCTTTGGAGGCTTTTGAAGACTTAAAAGTGGCAGGTGGTGACCTGTTGGAGGGTGCTGGTACAGTAGGTGTCGGTTTGTTGGGTTCTTTGATCTGGTCGAAACGAATGGTTTTTTCTTTCCACTTTGATCGGGAGCTCATCTCGCGCAAGTACATATTATCACCCACCCTTGAAAACCCGTCTATGTGGCTCGACATTAGTTTGCTACATGACTTTGTGAGGGTACCCCTCAGGTGTTCAACCACCTAGAAGAACCAAAAAAGATGCAGCCACAGGCAGAAGAAACTGGTTGCATCCGCTGATGAGTCCGGGGGCCAAACAGCTTTTGGGGCCGCTTTCAGCCCCGCGTGTGTTCGCACGCGCGCAACTTGAGCTGGTGTCGAAGAAGCTTCGGAGCAAAAGATCATGGTTACGTGGAAAGCAACCAGTTAGTCAGTTAGTCATAGTCTTCCGTCCGGGGCCATGTTCCACGTAACCATGTTTGTTGCGGGGAGGGTATCCATCAAGTGTACCACCGGAACCATGAAGGAAGGAAGCAACGGAAGGGACGCCTGGAATCACCGAGTGAATTACTTCCGATAAGGAGCTCCAAGGAGAGCTCCAAGGAGCTCGTTTTTGGTCAATGTTGTGCAGTTTTGTCAGATTTGCTGGGCTTTTCAAGGCATACATCGGCATATATACCCAACAAGGCTCCGTTCGAAAGGGAGAGTTCTGGGCCTTCTGGGCCTTCTGGGACCACCATTGGACTTTTTGGCATTCTGTTCTCTTGAGAACCCAGGAAGCCCATGGATCACCTGCAATCACCTTGTCCAAAAGGGGGCGGGGACACCTGAAACAGAAATCGACACCCCACGTGAGTCATGGACTCATGGACGACAGTCTATAGGTGAAGCCTCCCTTTGCTGCATCAATCACCCCTATCCCATTCCGACCGCGGTGCGGTTTCCCCAAGCATGCTGGGAAGCTCAGCAGCGAGGAATGGCATGGTGAAGTGGGTTCTGGATCTCCCCTGTGTTGAGCCTTGGCTTAGCCGCCGATGCGAAGGGTTTTCGCATTTACGCCATGCGCCATGGTGGTTTGGGAGCAAAGATGCATGAGTAAACGGCTACAGCACTAACTTGAGAAATGACAAACCATCACAGGAAACCAGGAGGACCTCAGGAGGATACAGTTGGGGGTGGTCAAACGTGTTTTCCATCAGTTGCAGCTGGCAGAAGATGTTGCATCTCAGATGTTCCAGAAAATCTGAGATAGGGATGACACCGGAATCCCGCAGACGATGTTTTATCACTACCTTACAGAGCTTCTGGTCTTGAAGCATAGGTGTGAAGCATATCCTTCCTTCCTTCCTTCCTTCCTTCCTTCCTTCCTTCCTTCCTTCCTTCCTTC